TTAACCCCCAGGTACAAGCACTTCCGGAGCTCCAAGATGGCCGTGGCCAACCGGAAGTGGGCGTGTCCCTCCTCAGGGGATGTGGCCAGACCTCCAAAAAATCTCAAGGGCAGATTTTGGGGGTCCAAATTACCTAGTAACCCCCATGTACATTCACTTCCGAAGCTGCAGGCCGACCGGAAGTGGGCGGGGCTTAACCGGAAGTGGGCGTTCCTGCCCAGGGGGCGTGGCCACACCTCAATAAAACTCCTGGGGGAGATATTGGGGGTCCAAACTACCTACTAACCCCCATGTACATGCACTTCCGAAGCTGCAGGCCGACAGGAAGTGGGCGGGGCTTAACCGGAAGTGGGCGTTCCTGCCCAGGGGGCGTGGCCACACCTCAATAAAACTCCTGGGGGAGATATTGGGGGTCCAAACTACCTATTAACCCCCATGTACATGCACATTCGAAGCTGCAGGCCGACCGGAAGTGGGCGGGGCTTGACCGGAAGTGGGCGTTTCTTGACCGGAAATGGGCGTGTCCGACCGGAAATACCACTCACTTGTTAGCAGCATGGCTGTAACTGACCACCTCGGCTAAAATCCATTGCTCATCACCTTCTAAAGCTTTAACACGTGCGGCAACTTTATCTCCAGGTTTGGCAACGTAATCGCCAGCAGCAGGAACAGCTCCACAGAGTGGGGGAGGCCTGGGGGGAGGGGCAAAGCAAAACAAAATGGCGGCCAAATGAGCTGAGACCAAAAAAATCCATAATTTTGGGTCTGGGGGGAGGGGCAAACCAAAACAAAATGGCGGCCAAATAAGCTGAGACCAAAAAAATCCATAATTTTTCCCAAAAAATTTGGAATTTTTTGTCTTAAATTGAAAATTTTAGGAGTGAAATCAAAATCAAAATGGCCGCTTCAAATAACGTTGTTTTCAAAATGTTGGCAAAAATTTTTAAGTTTGGATAAAAATTTTGGTGTCCAAATACTTTTGGTTTTACCCAAAATTCTTTAATCCAAAAATTCTTATCTTTATTCCAAAACTTTCTCATGCTAGTTAAAAATTTCATTTTTTCATAATTCTCTTTTGGAGAATTTCCATCTTTACACCAAAAATTTCTAATTCTGATTAAAAACTTTTTCTTAACTCTACTTTTGCAAATTGTACCAAAAATTTTCATTTTGACATTAAAAATATTTGTTTTGGCATCAAAATATTAATTCTGACCCCAACAATTTTGGGTTTCCTTCCAAATATTTCCATTTTGACCCAAAACATCTCAACTTTCACATAAAAAATTCCGTTTTGACCGAAAAAATTGCCATTTTCACACCCGAAATTCTGTTCTATTTAAGAATTTTTCTTTTTTGACTGAAAAATTCCCACTTTTCCCCCAAAATTCCCAATTTTTCACACCAAAATTCCCAATTTATTTCCTCTTCAAATCCCAATTTTTCCCCCAAAATTCCCATTTTCCCTCAGAATTCCCAATTTATCCCCTTCAAATCCCGATTTTTGCCCAAAATTCCCTGTTTTTCCCCCTAAATCCCAATTTTTCCCCAGAATTCCCAATTTTTCCCCCTATATCCCCTTTTTCCCCCCAAATTCCAACTTTTTCCCCCAAAAGTCCCAATTTTTCCCCAAAATTTCCCAGTTTTTCTCCAAAATCCCCAATTTTCCCCCCAAAATTTCAATTTTCCCCCAAAATTTCCAATTTTTTCTCTTTAAATCCCAATTTTCCCCCCAAATTCCCCATTTGTCCCCCAAAATTCCCAATTTTCCCCCA